TGCTTGAAGCGCGTCCACCATAGACTTTGTATGTAAACCTGAGGCTCCTGACGCTGAAATCGCGTTCGGTGTGAACGCACCATAAGAATCACTCTTACTCTCAAGAAAAGTTAAGACTGCTCCAGAGGACTCTTAAGTGGTTAAGAGTTGCCACTAGGGGTCTGAGATGGACTGAAGACTGAGATTACAGTTGTCCTCCTGACTGTTATTCTCAGGTATAAGATGTGGAAAACAGGTTTAATCAGAAATACAAAAAGAAAGAAAAGTAAAAAAAAATAATTAAAAAAAATTTAAAACTGTGCATAATGTTGGACTAAAAGGTAGATAATTGTGTGTGGCTTTTGAATAAAATATTAATTATACTCAGCTGGTGAGTGCATGCACACTTAAGAATTACTCCTACACTTCGCTTAAAGTAAGACTGAGATGCTTGATAACTGACTTTTACTCTCAACTTTTAACTAAGAATTATTTTACACTTATTTTATTTTAATAATTTTACATTATTTTTCTACTCTTAGCAGCATTCTTAAGAGTAATTCTAAGAAGTTTTATATATATAGCCCCTGGTCAACATTTCACTCATCTGATCTGCTGAAGCTTCCATCTCCTTCAAGAGTGGTCTCRGGTGGTCTCTCTCACGATTCTCATTCTGTCACTCAGTTTGTGAGGATGACTGCTCTTGGTAGATTTACACACATTCCCATATTCCTTCTATTTCCTGCTAATGGTTTAACAGAAATCCTGGGGTTGTTTCCATTCTGACTTGTACTTTTCAATATTATTTCCTGAGTTAAATCTGAGCAGTTTATGTTGCATTACACATTTCTAATTGGTATTAATCCCCAGAAAAATTTATTTCCATTGAGATTGGAGATTTATCAAGCATATTTCTGTAAAGGTTAATTTTGATTGACCATGACTGACTTGACAGAAATAAAAGTCCAAAACTTCCAAGGTGGTGAATATTTATTATAGATACTCAGGGTTCGACAAAGCCTATTGCCGGACTGCCTGGGGCAGGTAAAACCCATTGTCGGGCAGGTGGGTGTGTCTGGGCAGGTAAACAATTTCTTTTATTTTTTTTTAATAGGGCCATTTATTCAAAATATTCTGAAAAAAAATGAAGAAATATGG